TGCCAACGTACGAGGGCGTGAATGCACCGTTATACTACGCATTCTTAACCTCGGAACTAGATGGATATCAGTGATTAGCTTCGCGCCTCCGCCGCTTTACCCCCGCTATCCACTGGACAGGGGACTACGTGGGCCCCACGGCCTCTGGACGCTGGGCAGTAGAAAAAAACTCTATTTGCTGGGAATCGAAACCCGATTCCAAAAGTAGAAAGGTGTGCTCCAATCTGGTATCATGTTTCCAAATGCGATATTTCTAACTGAAATGGTGACTTGGTAAAGGGAGCCTGTCCATTTGTCAACCATTCGACATAGCGGCACAACAGAGCCCTGGATTATGGGTGAAGCCTGATACCAAGCCCACACTTGTGATGATGTACTGAGTAGTCAGTCTACTGTAGGGTCTGTTTGTAAACTCAATGTGAGAATGAGCAATGCCCCTATTTTTCATGATACAGGTATTTATTCTATACTTACTAAGATTTTTTCAATCACTGAAGCAAAAACAACGAGATCAAAGTGATAAGAGACTACCTTTCTCCTCCAATTGACATTTTATACAGCGACATGTTCATGGATGATTTGGGGGGGGGGGGGAAGCCAGGCACATGCTCTCAATTTTTGGGAATAACCAAAGTTGGGAAAAAAAAACTGAAAATTACAAAATATTAATACAACATTAAAAGTATTTAAGAAATATTCTTCTACCTTGAATGCTCTATGGCAACAAGTAAAAAGAGTTCTATAAGGCTTAAACAAAATCGACAAATTTTCAGCCCCTTCAATAAAAAACCTTACAATGACTATGAATAGGTCTACGCAGTTTATTTCACAAACAGCGCTGAATGTGTGCACCTGCTTGTGTGTTTATCAATGCATTTCATCTCTGAAACTATGTACCAAATTTTGTTTAAATTTTGCATGGGAGACCACACTATGAGCAGTCGGACACAACTTTAGAGTTGTCCTTAGTTAGGGTGACCAGACATCCTCTCTTTCCTAGACATGTCTAAATTTGATGTTCAGGTTCTTTTCTGTTAAATTGATAGAATGTCTTCTTTTTCTAAAATTAATTCTTACATCCATGATTTATTTAAACCATCTTGCAGTGCATACACTCATCTATCTCCTTCTCTCACTCACACTACATGTTTCGGCATAATAATGCCATCTTCAGGTGCTTACTCAATCCACGCCAAACTAGTTCATTGCATGCCTTGTCCTCACATTAAAATAACTAAAATATATATCTATCATATCCGAAACATGTAGTGCGAGTGAGAGAAGGAGACAGATGAGTGTATGCACTGCAAGACGGTTTAAATAAATCGTGGACTTAAATCAGTGCAACAGGACGCTAAAATATAAAATTAATTCTTACATACTTAAAACGCCAATAACACCTTATTGTTTCAGAACAACGATAAGTTTACCTACATACAAACATTTATTTTCAGAGTGCCAGTGAGTAATCCATGGGGATTTGTCGTGCTGACCACGTGACACCCTCTATCCGCTAAAGTTGGTACTAACTTCACAGGCAAGCGGCAGTTGCTTGGTCGGTATAGTTCACTTGCGGACTACACGCAACAGAGTGCCAGTGAGTGCTGTAACAACTGAAGTGAGCTATTTCTTTTTGAAATCGTAATCGTCGCAAGCAGGGCACCTGAAATACTGTCCCACAGCTTTGCACCTTCACCAGGAGAACTGCAAGTGTTGTTATAATTACCCTCACTAATTTATTTTTATATTCACAGATATTTGCTGGCATATCACAACAATGTGCTCAGTCACTAGTTAAACTTCCAAGGACATAGTAAGAAACCAACTAATCACTGTTTGAGCCCGCATATTGCAAGTTTTGTTTTGTAAATACAAGTGCAGTTTTGTAGTTTATGATAGATCTGTGTTATATTTCCCTACTGTAGAAGGATAAGTATACATTTTTTTTTTGTTTTTTACCAATAATATGCGAAAGCAAAAGTGTAAATTTAAAAGTGAACTTCAAACGCTTCACAGTTTGGAGAAACAGAAATGAAACCGAATGTACTCATGTTATATGCAAAATGTTTTCGTTTATAGCAAACAAAAGCAGTTACGATTTGGAAGCACATATTAACAAGCCAAGCATATATAAAAAATTCTGATCTGCCATAATACCCAAAGGTCAGTTAGTGGTTTTTTTATCAAATAAAATTCATAAATAGAAGAATGGGCAATCGCAAATGAGTTCTCTTTTTTTCTCTCACAAAATCTGGTCACCTTATCCTTACTGCTTAATTAAGCTCTGTATCATGAAGACAAAAGTGGGAATGGAGGTAAATCAATAAATGGAGGTGAGCGTCCCGTTCATGCCCCAGCTGCTTTACCTCTGGGAAGAAAGGCCCTAGCACCCATAGTACAGGAGACTGGGTATGCCGCAGAGTTGATCTGGATACAGTGGAGATAAGAGAAATCTCTTTCCCCTGCCAGGAATTGACTGAATAGGGCCCTGCATAGTACCAGTGAGCTATCCGAAGCTCCCAGGTTTGGTGCACTTCAGTGTGAACCTGAAACTGATGTTCTATCGATTTTCTGAAGTGGCTCATCACGTAAAAATTAATATATTAATAAAATACAGATCCCATTAACATCTGCAACATTTGAATTCCTTTTTGAAATGGTAAATATTTAACAAAATGCAAGAAGAAATAACATATCTTGTGTGTGGTTAGCTCTGCAAGAGTAGATCTGTATATACAATTAAGCAACATTATGGCCAACAGAATGAGAGGAACAGAAAAAAGCATCTGGAATATATTAGAACTCCACAGGGATACATATTTCCTTTCCTATTTTAATTAATGTGGGAGAGTTTTGAATTCTGAATATTAGTGTTCTCCTGTATGAATGAAATATCATTCTGGAGAAGATACACTAACAAAATTCAGTACTGGATGTCCTAATTATTAGACTTAATTTTGATCCATACAGGACAGTCTGCTCCATAAATTTACAGAATTCAAATCCTGGAAACAGGAAAAACATCGTGTAAGATTTGAGGCTTTCACGGCAGTGACTATGAAGAAAGCAGTCTTCTGGGATTTGGCACCGTGTATATGTGGTGTTAACCGACGTTTCGGAGGAACATATCGCCTCCATCTTCAGGGTAGAAGAAAAAGTATAAGAAATCTGCAAGCGACAAGACCGTGAGAACGGTTTTTACCGTTTTACCGTTTACCGTTCTCACGGTCTTGTCGCTTGCAGATTTCTTATACTTTTTCTTCTACCCTGAAGATGGAGGCGATACGTTCCTCCGAAACGTCGGTTAACACCACATATACACGGTGCCAAATCCCAGAAGACTGCTTTCTTCAGGAAAAACATCCATGCACTAACAAAGTTTGATAAAATATAAGTCTTCCCATTCAGTAATTTTCACGTATAAAATTTGTTAGAACTGTTGTGACAGAAGAATTATCCAAAACATACAACACGGAAGAAGCAGTCAGCAAAGGAACTGGGTATTTAAAATACAGACAAATCAAAACCGAAGCCAAAGACCAGAAAATGCAGACAGCGCTTTGTAACATACACACAACACTTGTGCATATGGACAAACATGACAAATGCAAGGCAAATGAAGATGTCAAATAACTGGCTACAGAGGAAACAGAATAATTGGGACACATCTAGTGAGGGTAGGCAGACAAAAGCTAACAGGGAAAGATTTGTCACACATACAATAAGAGCATTTATGGGACTTGAGAGGCTTTATCATAGGATGACTTTCACATGTGGAAATTGCAATGCATACTGATGGTATTCAGCGAAGGAAACTATTTAACTTTTTCGGAACATGGATTAAATTGATGTGGAATCAATAATTAATTCGGTAGCCTGGATTTTCCTCTCCTCTGTAGTGTAAGTTTTGTCCATTTTACTGAAAAATTAGACACATTAAGAGTGCCATATGGCAGAAGCTGCAACTGACATGTATGAGTAATGTATGTCCATCTGCATCTAATGAAAACTTATCACTGTGCACATGGCATGTCCTCCACATGAAAGGGCAAACACTGAGGACCAGCTATTTTTTTAAGACAAACAGTTTTTCAAAAAATGTCAAAACTCTAGAACTAATAATTACATACCTCATGATTTAAAGACTGCAGTGTAGAGAAATGTTAAGGGAATATTCAGAATTATTTAAATTTTCACTCATCATCTTGTTGTAATACTTACTAAATCTCAAACTGTATTTCTTTCAATCCACTTGGCTGCTAGCTGAAGTATACAAACTACACTAGTGTGAAAACTAATTTCAGAATAGTCATTATAAAAACAATCATGATCATAATGGTAATAATAATAGTTGTTATTTTTACAGGGGGTACACGGTAGTGTAGTTGGTTGAGGGGCTATGCTACAAGCCGGAAGGTTGCAGATTCAAGTCCCGATGAGGTCATTGGATTTTTTTCAGTTGACCTAATCCTTCCAACCGCACTATGGCCCTAGCGTCAACTCAGCCTCTAACAGAAATGAGTACCAGGAATTAATTAAATAGTTTTCTTGGGGAGTAAACCGTGGCCGGCACGCAAGACTGACAACCTTACTGCCATCTTTGAGCTGATTGTCTAGATATTGTGGGACCCTCAACATCTCACAACCCTACGGGCCTTCTCGGCCTGTTACAGGGATAGCTTTACTTTTACTGACACTATTATTGGTACATGTTTTCAAGCTGGAATTTCATTCTACAAGTCAGACTTCATTACTTCAACACAGCCATAACCAGTTCTATGATGATTACCACCTCAATGCCATAACACAATATTCATTCCCTTACATTCAATCTCAATTGGGAATACTGGAACTACTAACAGTCCATAGTATTTATAAGCATTTATTTGATAAAATAAAGTATTTATATTTCCAATAAATATTAAAAATGTATCAAAAGGTGATCCAGTTTTGGATTGCTGGTCCTCAATGCACATAAGAGATAAAGATGAATATCCTACCTGCTCTCTGTCTTGAATGTGTTCAAAATACTCAATGGACTTGTTATTGATGGTGATTAGGCCAGTTCCTGGTGATCTGACTGTAACTTCACCACGAGCAGATTTCCTCAAACACTCTGGAAAAAAAAAACACAATATCATTATATGTGTTCGCATTCCTCAGTATTATTTGCTTTATCGTCATTAATTTAACCCACTGTGGCAACTAACATTATTTCCAAGAAGTGATAATCTGTGTAAGTTTTGAGCTTTTCACGGCGATGACTATGAAGAAAGTCGTCTTCTGGATTTTGGCACCGTGTATTCTTTGTTTTGGCCGACGTTTCGGAGGAACATATCGCCTCCATCTTCAGAGCAGGTGAATGGCTTGTGAATGCAGAGAGCAGTAGCTGTAGTGATTAGGAAGTGAAACGTTACTGTTTCTCCGAAACGTCGGCCAAAACGAAGAATACACGGCGCCAAAACCGAGAAGACGACTTTCTTCAAGTGATCATCTGTTTACAACCAACAATGGCTGCTCAGTGTTCTTCTGTGGTTTTCTGACCAAAGAATGTATTTTATTTATTAACACAGAGCAAGGAAAATATATGATAATATTGCAACAGCAAGGACTTAAGAGTAATTCAAAACATTGCCTTCTTTCTACATGATATGTTTTTATTTTAATGGGCTCTGAAAGGGTTCTGATGACTGAAAAGCTTGGACAACACTGAAATGTTACCCACGACTCATGTGAGACAGTAATGAAATGTGCCCACCTACCTTTTATTGTCACATAAGCTCTTCCATCAGCACTGTATTGTGGCTGGAATCAATAAAAATCAATGTGAGATTTGAGGTTCTCATGGCAGGCAGTACTGTGAAGAATATTATCTTATGACATGTTACAGTGTGTAGTCTATTAGAAGTTTACTGACATTCCTATGAAACACTACACACTGGGTGGTGGCATCACATCCCAGAGTATAGTAATCTTCAATAACACAGCAAATTATAGTACAAGCAGTCTTGGGCCAAAAGTTCTTTAGTTGTAAGGAAGATGAGAGAAAAAGTAGATCAGGTAGTTCTATAAGTACAAGGATGTTGTTCACAATGACTGTAAAGTGAATATAAACACAGACCAAGCAGTTGGTGACAAAATTCTAGTCACTTAAAGAGTAACAGCTAGGGAATTTATCAAAGGCATGGTTTATAATGGGTCTCTGTTCCTAAGAGCAGAAAAACATGCAACAGAACTGAAATGTGTAGCAGAAAAAATCTCGTATCATATTTGCTCTTTCCTTATTCATGAACGCAAATCTTATTTGACACTGAAGAAAGCAGTCTTCTGGGATGTGGCACCATGTAGATGTGGTGTTAACTGACGTTTCGGAGGAACGTATCGCCTCCATCTTCAGGGTAGATGGAAAAATAAGAAATCTGCAAGCGAAGAGACAGTGAGAACTGGTACAAGCAGACTGGTGTTGGAAATAAACACAGTTATGTGAGAGCAGTGAAAGGAGGGGAGGGGGGCAAGTCTACATGGGAAATCAGTGAAGTGGAAGGGGGGAAGGGGCTGGAAGGGTTGCTATGTTAGTCGGTCATGGCCTGTGTAGCCTTGTGGATCTGGTGTCATGTCCCGAGGGGGGGGTTATGGAACAGATGAGAGGCTTCCATGACTTCATGAGACAAAACCCCCCTTCCCTGTTCATATTTTCGGGATGGAGTTCGATCTCAATGGCTTCCCTAATGATGCGATCCATATATCGGGTCTTGGTGGTGAGGATGGAGGTATTCTGAAGCTGAATGCAGTGTCCCAGATCGATGCTGTGTTCAGCTACGGCTGACTTGTCCGGATGGAGGTGATACATACCTCTGAAACGTCGGTTAACACATCTACACAGTGCCACATCCCAGAAGACTGCTTTCTTCATAGTCACTGCCATGAAAACCTCAAATCTTACTTATTTGACATTGTTATTCCAAAATATGTGAAATGGGTCACATCCTAAAGGATTTGTTAAGTCTCCTTATATCACGATTCTGTTCAGCATTCTGGTGATGACACAGTACTCAGCTATTGCTATGTTTTATTTCCAGACCGATTTCCTTATTAGCCTATAACATTCATTTTTATTAGTCTAAGCCCTTGTGTCATTTTTACAGATTTTTATGATGCTTTATTATCCCTTGCCATAACCCAAAAGCTGGAGGACCAACCTTCACTGGAACAAGCGACTAATTACTCAACATACTGGCAGCTTTACTCCATCCACAGCTCTATGACACACTAACATGTGCCCTTACTAAGGGGTTTTCATATTGTATGCATTATGTTAAATATGATAAATTATGACAAAGAACAAGAAAACACAGTTGACAAAAGACAATTTGACCCCTGTGAAGTCTGAAGTTCTCATGGCAATAAGCATAAAGGTTACAGTCCTCTAGGATGGATACCATGTAGTTTGGTAGATATATACCACCATTTTGGAGGAACCTATGGGCTCCATCTCCATGGTAGAAGAATGATGGGGGCACCAGGTTCCTCCAGAATGTTAGTACCCACCTACCCAGCTATACAGTGTTGTATCCCAAAAGAACATAATCTTAAATTTGATCTTACCTTGACCAAGAATATGGTACATGAATGTAGCAAGCAACAGCATGGGGGGAGGGGACAACATAAGAATGAACACTTATGTTGATATTTTATTCTTCTCATAACACACTGCAAGTTTATTTATAAATATCCATGAATATGAGTTTTAAATACACACAATAAAATATCTTTTCACCAAAATTCATCCTCTAAAATCTGGACACATCTCAGTCTGAAAAATATGCTATGCACAGCACAGAACAGCATGTAGCATGTGAGCGTGGGATTAAGGGCAAGTATCCAGTTCCTTAAAAATGTTACCCCTTGGTTAGGGGAGTGAACCCTGAGAGAAAATCTGAGCCTTCATGTAGTCAGGGTTGGGCACAGGGCTAACAATCCTGCCTCTTAAAAAATATAATAAAAATAAAAAAATAAATGTTTAGAAGTCAAAATTATATTTTTGAAAATACAGTCGGAAATCAAACTAACTTCTTTCTAAAGTGGATAGTGAATAAATTAAAATAGCAAATGAATAACTCCTACCTTGGGAATATCGTAAGCAGTACTTTGGCTCAGTATTGGTTTCCTGAATTTCTCAATGAAATCTTTAAGCCGGTAAGAGTAAGGATGCTGAATTAGTCGTTCCATAACATAGATGAGATTGGAATACTGAAATGCAGACACATTATTATCAAAGCTCATACACCACCTAACAAGTTCCAATGTTAATGGCACCATTTAACCCTTATCATTAGGAAATGAAGGTTTTAAATTTCCAACTGCTACATGCATGGTGGTCATATACTAATTTGAGGTAACAGTTTATTGTCAGGAAATAGGGGACTTGCTTCTATAGGTCTGTTGACCACAATTTAACTTGTTGGTACAACACATTTCCTCAAATCCTTTCTATCCACAAAACCTGTTGCTCCTGCCCCCATAAGAAAACAAACAAACCAAGAAAAGCACAGATATAATCTATGGTGGTTTGTATTGAAATGCTAGGATACAGAGGAAGTGCCTATGCATTTTTCTTACCTCTCTGTCACTTAGTTTCTCTACAAGGATGATCTCAAATTGACTCTTCGGTAACCACACTGATCCTGAAGTGCTCCTTAAAAAAAGAATTATGTATTAGTCTGTAAAGCAGAGCTAAGTGATGCAACTTAAACTATTAACACAGAGACTGCAAATTAAAACTTACATTGCCTGGGTAGCATCTGGTATCAAGTGTTTCTTGATCATTTTATCTTCAAAATCATTTAATGAATTCGTGTGACTGACAAGGTCCTGTATGAAAGAAAATTATATTAATTAGCTTACACAGAGAAAATTACACAGTGACGATGTACATAATTTGCACTCTTCACTTATATTATACACAGCAACAACAGCAACAACAACATTTATTATTATTGTTGTTTCTGTTATCACTGAATCTATGAGAATGTGGCGGACAAGAAATCTAGCAGATTTGAGATGCAAATGTATGCATCACATGACAGACTAATTGTAGAGGGGAGGACAATATTAAATAGGATCTCAGGAAAACAGGATGTGAGCATATGGACTCAGTTTTAGTGGCTTAGGATAAAGACCAATAACAGAAATTTAAGAATAAACTAATGATCTTTGGGTTCTATAAAAGGTCTAATAAATTCTCTGACCAGTTGGGTAAATTCAACTATGCAAGAAAATTCCTTAACATCTTAAAGTTAGTTTCAGTTTCCTTCATTGGAACTGACAATGAGTTGAGTTTTGTTCTTTGTGAGTGAACAGTCATTGCAAAGGAGATCTGCTGACAAGCAGCACAAGCTCAGTCGGCTCAAAAGCTGCATGCTGGAAGCACTGCCTGGTTACCTACATTGCTGCAAGTTCGCACTTGTTCCGTACATAGTCCTGCAAACTTCTTCTCTGATGGAGAAGACATGCATCTACGGAGTTCAAGAATAAGTTGCTACAGCATGCTGCATTTGAAAGTGAACTGTCAAAAGGACACTGCAACACAGTAGCCATGCTGTTCAAAAACGTGGAACAAATCCTTTGTGTTTCCAAGAAAAAAGCATAATGAGGCATAAGAAAACAATGAAACTTGATTCTTTAAAAAAATATTAAATCAGAAGATGTGTGTTGCATAGGCAAAAAAGAGGAATATCCAATACTAACAAACACTTAGGTAGTAGTGGAATATAATTTATCTGTTAGTTCACTGTGGAGGGTATCAAGATCAGTATGATTTAGAGCAAAGATGAGGAATATGATATCTACACACACACAATTAGCAACATACCGTATTTATGCATGTATAGGCCGTTATATTATACACAGCAATTCAAGAGGAAAACTGGGGTGCGGTTTATATTCGAAATATTCGAAATCACACTCCATTTTAAAAAAATTATATTCATAATTAGTAATACCGGATGTTCAAAGATCGAGGAATTATTTTTTCTATAATATGTCTGAAAATTGTGCTGCGGCCTATACACGCACGCGGCCTATACATGTGTAAATACGGTATCTACTCTGGCAGTGTGGAAGAACCTACAGCCAATGGTGCATACATACGAGGTGTGTTCAGGAAATAACGGGAATTTTAAAATTTCGCGGGTTTGGAGAGTCCAATTGTCAAAATTTTTTTTTATTATGTTGGTATACATGCCCCTGAAGTACAATAAAATTTTCAGCTGTATTCATTGCTTACTTTGTCTGTGGCAGCCGCTAAGGTTAGACGTGTTTTTATGAGCTTGGCGATTTTCGTTTGTTAAAAGAAATGGATCAAAGAATTTGTATCAAATTTTGCGTAAAAAATGAAATAAAGTGTTACAAAGTGTGTGAAATGTTAACAAAGGCCTATGGTGAGTCTGTTATGAGTAAAACAAGAGTTTACGAGTGGTATAAGCGTTTCCAAGATGGCCGTGAAGACGTTGCAGATGACGAGCGCCCCGGACGCCCCAGCACATCAACAACCGATGAAAACGTGGAAAAAGTGAAAGCAATGATTATGAATGATCGCCGAATCACAATCAGAGAAGTCGCTGATGATGTTGGCATATCGATTGGCTCATGCCATGAAATTTTTTCGAATGTTTTGGGTATGAAACGCGTGGCAGCAAAATTTGTTCCAAAATTGCTGAATTTTGAACAAAAACAGCGGCGAATGGAAGTTGCTCAGGAATCACTAAAGGAAGTCAACGATGATGCAGAATTACTGAAACGTGTTATAACAGGTGACGAAACATGGGTTTACGGATATGACGTTGAAACTAAGGCTCAATCGTCTCAGTGGAAGCATCCTGGATCGCCAAGACCGAAAAAGGCTCGACAAGTGCGTTCGAACGTGAAGGTTATGCTTACTGTGTTCTTCAATTTTAATGGCATAGTGCATCATGAATTCTTGCCTCAAGGTCAAACGGTCAATAAGGAGTACTACCTGAAAGTTCAACGCCGTTTGCGTGAGGCAATCCGAAAAAAACGCCCGGATTTGTGGAAAAACAATTCATGGCTTTTGCACCACGATAATGCACCTGCTCACACTTCGTTGCTTGTTCGTGAATTCTTGGCCAAAAACAATACTGTAACGATGCCCCAGCCTCCATATTCGCCAGACATGGCTCCGTGTGACTTTTTCCTATTTCCAAAAATAAAGAGAACCTTAAAGGGCCGTCGTTTTACAAGCATAGATGACATTAAAAGCGCATCGCTGAAAGAGCTAAAGGCTATCCCAAAAATCGAGTTTGAGAAGTGTTTCGATGATTGGAAGAAGCGCTGGCGTAAGTGCATAATATCGAATGGGGACTATTTTGAAGGCGACAACATTAATGTAGACGAATGAATAAATATTTTTTCCAAAATACGGAAATTCCCGTCATTTTTTGAACACACCTCGTATGAACAGTGACTACACCACCACACCAACATCCTCATGAACTGCACAAATAACACGCTGCAAAGGCACTGCTGTGCATATAAATCAGGAACAAGAGATACTCAAGCAAATATCTTTTAAATGAATGGACAACAGCCATAAGAAACACAATGGGATATTAATTAATTTTAATTAAGGTCAATTTATTGCAATTAGGAAATATCACATTTAGCAAGATAGAAGACACCTGATGATGGCTGTATATGGCTGAAACACGTAGAGAGGAAGAAGGGTGACCTGATAATAAGTTGCATTTAAAACGGAAATATGTGTGAAATAAATGATATATTAATGCAACAGGATGCTTAAATACAATATTATAACAATAATACAACAAAATACAGAACTCGATGAAGAAATCAAGTAAATGTGGCTACAGAAATGGATTCACCAATTGTCCTGACTACAGGTATAATGCTTTAAAGTCTCAGCATCAAACAAGAGAACTTGGAACTTAAATCATGTCACCATAAATACAAATATCAGTCATTGTGGATACATGCCAAATAGCAAGATGTTTCATGAATACCTTGTAATGACCATAATAGTTACAAATAAGGATGCTTGACTAAGACCATGTTGTTATAATGCTATGTAAACATGAGAAAAAATTATAGAAATGATGATAACAGACTACTTGCATGTTATGAATTGTTTTTCAGTTAATATTTGTATCCACATACATGTAACAGCTGATATAAATTAGGCCTCCCAGTATAAAACAGAAAGTGATGAGGCCGACCACTCTCATCAAATTCAGCAGCTTTTCTTGGAGGAAACACCTCGTCTGGTGGTTTCATTAATGGACGAGCTTTTGGTTCAAAAAGGCCCGATGGAAACAGGTACTCAATGGCTCTCTGAAATGGTACAAAAAGTCAGAAATATAGCAAATAATAGAATATTTATGGACACAAATGTTTCACTAAAATACACAGAATGCTGTACCACTCACATATTTATTGCTTCCATAATCTCACAGAAAAGAAATAAAATGCGGGGAACTTAATGTCTTATACAGGGTGTCCCAGGAAGCACGGCTAGGGTGTATCATCGCACTCAAGGACAAACACAGATAAGGCCTCTCAGCTGAGAGGTACAGTGTGTGGACCTGCCAGAAGACCACACTTTTCTTGGGCCATTATCTCCGTAACCGTTCAACTTTGGACATACGTGTTTTGGGTTATATCGGCATACTTTAACATAAGGAACACCCTCCCGAAGTTTGGTCCATTCCTCCTGGGACACCCTGTATATAAACTGAATTTTCAATATTAAAAAATTAGTTTTTATTGAGTTTAGGCTATCACAGTGATTAACTGAAGATGTTAATTAAATTCTTTGGTGATTACATTATGTGGATGTGGAGATGGATCTGGAGGTGCATGCTGCGTCCATCTTCAAGGGCAAAGTGTGCAGAATGGGAGAGTTTGTATGTTTATGTGGGTTTATGTTTTGAAAAGAAAATGCGAGGGAGGAGAGAGGGGTCAGTATGTACTGAGGGTCCTAAGTGAACCAAGAAACCATCAGCAACTGTTGCTTCATCATTCAAGTACTCACCAGACATAACACTGTTTAACCTTCTATGATGTGGGTCAAGCCACACAGAAAATGACTGGGAGGTTACCACTGGTTCAGGGTGTTTGAATGGGGATGGCGATTAAGAAGTGTGAAGAAGGCTACAGCTTAGAAACAGGCCTAGAATCGGAAAGTAGGTGAATGTGGTGGTTGTCCACTGGGGTGGGAGGGGGTGTGTAGCCATTCCTCAATTTTGCATGAGGTTTGGGTCATACTCTCTGCTTCTCAACCATATTAAACATCCTTACAGTTGTATGGATAGAAATGCTGGCTTAACTTACTCAAATTTTGCTGCTGTCTCCTTCAAAATAGTCTCCTTGGGAACGTATACAGCGATTCCATCGTTTTTTCCACACTTCAAAAGCACAGTGGAAGTCATTTTCCTTAATGCTGTTGAGTACCACTTGTGGTTCCATTTGGATGTCAGACACTGTTTCAAAATGTCGTCCCTTCAGACTCATTTCCGATTTGGGAAACAAAGCTAAATCACTAGGGGCTCAGTCTGGTGAGAAGGGAGGATGGGGAATGATAACCATGTTGTTGTTAGCCACAAACTCTGTGGTTTTCAGGGACGTGTGAGTGGATATGTTGTTGTGATGAAGGAGCCAGTTGTGGTTGCCGAAGTTCCAGTCTTTTCTATTGCATATTCGCTCAAGCGTCTCAAAACATTACAGAAAAGTCAGAGGTGACTGCAGTGGTAGGGGGAACAAATTCACAGTGAACAATCCCCTGCACGTAAAAAAAACAATGAGCATGCTCTTTGTTGAACTCCAGACCTGTCGTGCTTTTTTTGCTCTTGGTGATTGTCGCCTCTTCCACTGCGATGACTTTTGCTTTGTTTCTGGATAATAACCATAAATCCAACTTTTGTCACCCATTATGATCCTACACATAAAAGTTGGGTCCTTGCTAGCCTTCTCTCATAGCTCAAGACACATGTTTACGTGCTACTGCTTTTGATTGTTTGAGTCGGGGGAACAAACTTTGCGGCAATGCAGCACATGTTCAAATTTTCATACCCACCGCTGTGAGAACCTCAGATCCTCCACAGTGCTATATCCCAGAAGATAGAACTCTTCATAACCACGGCTGTGAGAACCTCAGATCCTACATGGTGCTATATCGCAGAAGATAGAACTCTTCATAACCACCGCTGTGAGAACCTCAGGCTGTACACAGCGCTATATCCCAGAAGATAGAACTCTTCACACCCACCGCTGTGAGAACCTCAGATCCTACACGGCGCTATATCCCAGAAGATAGAACTCTTCATAACCACGGCTGTGAGAACCTCAGATCCTACACGGCGCTATATCCCAGAAGATAGAACTCTTCATAACCATAGCTGTGAGAACCTCAGATCCTATCCCAGAAGATAGAACTCTTCATAACCATGGCTGTGAGAACCTCAGATCCTACATGGCACTATATCCCAGAAGATAGAACTCTTCATAACCACCACTGTGAGAGCCTCAAATCCTACATGTAAAGGTACATCTATTATCAGTACCTTTTTATAACACACAAGATAATTATGTGACTTTTGGCATACTTACATCGATATCTTCCTGCATGAAGGTCTCAGGATCCTCACCCATCATGTTTGCTAGGTGTCTCTTCCCAATGTTATACTGAAGCAATTGCTCTTTTAAAAATTCATCTAAAATAAAAAGAGTTTATTGTCAAAATATACAGAAGTACTATACTGCTAACTCTCAATAACCAAGTGTCAGTTACCAGACTGTGGATTGCTTTTGCTTTTTGGTACATTCAACTGTATTTTATCTACCATCACATACAGTTCTAAATGTTTTGCATCAGTGTGAAATGTGAGAACACAAATTACAAATATTGGAAAAGACAGGGCTCAAGAAATATTATGAAGGAATAGGACTATTTAGTATATTACACAATAAGGATCTCTGTGGTTTTACAGGGTACCTTGTATTAACAGGACAGTGAATTCTAGAAGACTGTGATGAACTCGATATGAAGCTAGTATACAGAAATCAGAAGAACTTTGGTGAGGAAACCTCCTGGAAAATGACAATTTAGAAATATGAAGGAAAAAACTGGGAAATACATAACACAGATCTCAGGGAACAGGTTGTGAGGATAGGAGGCCGAAAGAACTGGTTCAGGAACATTTGCTATAACAAGTTTTGGTATCAGGAGCAATGAAATTTCAGGTTATATCACAAACAAGTTTTGCAGTACTTTCTGAAATTAACTCTTTGAAACTGAAGTAATTACATGTTATTCATTCTGGGGTGCTTCCATGTTGCAATGGTTAATCTAGTGCACCTGTTTCAAGTTCCCCTGGAGATAATAATCACAATAACTACAATCAGAGGATCTAGCTTGCCAGAATAATTTGCTAATTATTCTGTTCTCAAACACCTCATATACAGTAGCCTTGGGCTTGTTAACAATGAGTCCTGTAATATCATCTCGCTGTAAATACTAATTTTGTCTTTCTTCAGCTGTAAATTTATTGAAGAAATGATTCAACATACTGCTCACATACCACAATTTGCTTCAAAATAAAAATGTTGCACACTTACAGCTCACCACACCCTACATTCACAATGCATAATTGCACCTAGTAATTACATGAGAATATTCTTCGCTCCATATATACTGCATACTGACATGGGCACTAAGTTAAAATTGTGCCTCATCAGTTACCAACAGCAGCTGTGAATCCATGACCCCACTATGGACATTTTGCAGCAACCAGTTACAAAACTGGATTCTTTCTTCACAATCTGACTCTTCACGATCATGTACAACATTATTTTACACATGCAAAATTAATCTCATGGTTGTTATTCTTCAATTAGCACAATCCTCTAGGATTGCCTCCTTTTGTCACAAACTGAACCCACAGTCTGCCATTTTATGACAAATTCCGATACTCAGGACTCCATGGACACTTGTTCTTGTTGGTATTTTATGAGTCAGTGAACCTCCAAACACATTTTCCACAACCTTCCCTTCCTAGGAGTCATAAGACTATGAAAATTTGCTGTTGAATCGTATAATTCATTGTAAGAGCAATACTCAGGTCTTAATAGTAAGAGATCTGGGCAAGCAGAATCTGCGGTCACTACTTTAATCACAATATGTCTGTTAAATCCACAAACAACTGCCATGTTGGTAAGATCCATAAGGATTGCAGTCAAAGCATCTGGAGCATTCATGGTGTTATGGAGTGTCCTCATTTGAACTATCAGTAGCATTAAAGATGGATATACTCCATTTTGGTTAGAAATAATATTATATTTCAGCATCCTGTTTCATTAATAACACTCATTCACTTACTTCCATCTATAATGCAAACACATGCCTGACACAGGAAAACTAAGCACAAAGAAATAGTGTAAATGCTGCAACACAAAAACAGTATGAGGAAAATGTGGGCAATCTTGAATATGATGACATGCAATAATAGCATGTAAATATACCTACATGTGAGCCCAAGCAGTGCAGTGAGGCCTGTATGTAGCAACAACAAACAAAAAGTGATTTTAATAACATTTTATGAATTTTAAAATATAACAGAGAGTTTCAATTTTAGATGGAAGTAAGTGAATGAGTTGGTTACAATTTTTTATGCTTACTTGAGCTGTCCCTTTTGTTGTCTATGGCCACGGTACAAAATAATTTTGAATATTATACCGCTACATTTCTATTTGTATCCAGTACTTCATTTTCAAATTGTTGCATAAATCAGCAAAATTTATTCAACTTGTATTGTAGGAGGGACTTACAGAGCATTTTTAGTTTTCACCATACTGAGAAATATGGGGCAAAAGATGAAACAATATAATTTGAGACATAAACTAAGAGAACCTGTGCACGTAACCTTTAAGACACAATGGTAGTTATTATCTACTACCTGTTGTGAAGTATAGACCCTGCTCTTAATTAATTAAGCAATACACCATGTACACCAACTGCCGTAACATTAAAAAACTTAGCAGTTTTCTCAGAATCTATTTGTGTGCTTTATATGAGTCTCAGAATAAACACTGATTATTTCTCTGAGCAGCATTAACTGACTGATTTTGTAATGGACACACATTTTCTACAAGACAGAAACACATTTTATACGTTATTTAAACAAACCTCAGGTTTCATAGGATGAATAAACAATTATTGTTACACAAACCTATTAAAGTGTTGTGCCAACTTGATCCCGTTGAATTATATAATAAAAGTTTACCCACTGAGCTGGAATAGTGTGGCTGATAGTTGACCAGCTATGGGCTGATATAGGCTGAGATTTCTCCTGTTGTCATCATGCTCAGATTGGATCTGGTATTCCTCCTCCAAGAGTTAAGTCAGCCAACACATGAAACTGCCTACCTGCTACAGCTAAGGTCTAGATTACCTTTACAGTACGATGGTACTTGGCACGCAGGTAATTTTATCATTACTGAAGGTCACCACACTGAGAATCTCAGATTAGTACTATGGTATTAGTAAATACCTGTGTAAGCTTTATATATATTTTCTTATGCAATACAACTCACCATGCTTCTGTGCTCTTTCAAGATATGCTCGCATTGCCCTACTGACTTTGGCCTTCTTTGGCACTTCATTTTCTAAATTCAATTCTGGTATATTAGAATAAGTTGTATATCTACACCTTAGTTCATGTACCTACAAAAGAATAAACACAAATATTTTAAAAAATAATACACTTCACCTGAGGACACAAACAGATACATGTAAGATCTGAGGTTTTCATGGCGGTGACTATGAAGAAAGCCGTTTCTGGGATGTGGCGCCGTGTAGAAATTGTGCTAACCGACGTTAACATCCTATCCAATGGGTATTGGAGGCTCTTTCCCCAGGAGTAAAGCGGCCAGGAAGTGAAGCTGACCACTCACATCCAGCTAATGTCGAGGTCAATAAAATGTGGATCTACACGTCCACTAACCCATATACCTTCATAGTGTAGTGCTTAATTTGTTAAATACAGGGACAACTTTCCCTTTACCACTGTAGGGCATCCACAAAGTTTATAAAATTATCGGACTGTAAGCGACAATGAAGCAGACACTTTAGATTATCAAAAACAGAAACCTCTAACTGTACAAAAACTTTTTACCATAAAGTTACGAATACGCCAAGTACAGATGTTTATAGGCACAAGACTTTGAAGACTTTGAATATTCGCAAAATGTTTACATTTCAAAACAGTACCTATACATTTCGCCATTTTCACATGTGCTATATTGTGATCGCGTTGCCAACATTCTTGGAATGTGTGAGATTTTCTTTGGAACGTATGAACATACTTTAATAATCATTTCAATGACACAATTAACAAATTTAACTTAAACATTTACCTGCTCTGAAATAATATTTTACATACATACTAGATGACACAGAATTAAATACTGCTGGCCTTCATGTTGGTGTACCTGTAACCGTCTGTTCCGGGAGTGTTTTGACATGAAAGAAAGGGTTACACGTAAAAATGAGGAAAGTTGTTTTTTTACATCCAGATTTGGGCATTGGAGGAGCTGAAAGATTAGTAGTTGATGCAGCTCTATCATTAAAAGGAAATGGGTATGATGTCCAGTTTGTTACGTCACACCACGATCCACAGCACTGTTTTATGGACACAAGAGATGGAACTCTGCCTGTTACGGTTGTTGGAGATTGGCTTCCAAGAAACTTATTTGGTCGTTTTTATGCCGTATGTGCGTACATTCGCATGATTTATGCCGCAGCATACATTGTTTTCTTCAGTGGACTTACACCAGATATTGTTTTCTGTGATCAGATTTCTGCCTGTGTGCCTCTTTTGCATATTGGTGGTTATAAAATAATATTCTATTGTCATTTCCCAGATCAGCTTCTCAGCCAGCCAGGCACTGCACTGAAATCGTTGTATCGTGCACCACTTAACTGGTTGGAGGAAACCACAACTGGTAAGGCACATAAGATACTGGTAAACAGTAAATTCACAGCAGGGGTGTTCAGAGATACATTCAAAAGGCTTCAGGTTGAACCTGATGTTCTTTATCCCACTATGAATACAGATGTATTTGACAACACAAGACCTCTTCCTCTCAGCCAGATACTCACATCGGAATTTCCAGATAATGGCATTCTTTTTCTCTCAATCAATCGTTATGAAAGAAAGAAGAATTTAAAGCTAGCATTGGATGCAATGAATGAACTCAAAAAGTGTTTATCTTCTAACGAATGGTCACATGTTCATTTAGTAATGGCAGGTGGCTATGATACAAGAGTAAAAGAAAATGTTGAGCATTATGATGAACTGGTTAGTCATGCTAATATACTGGGTCTGACTGAAAAAGTGACATTCATGAAATCCCCATCTGACATAGAAAAGATTTCACTCCTGATTCACTGTCACTGTCTTATCTACACACCTCCAAATGAACACTTTGGCATTGTTCCTATTGAGGCAATGTATGCAAGTAAACCAGTGATTGCTGCCAATAGTGGTGGACCAACAGAAACTGTTGTTAATGGTGTTACAGGATTTCTGTGTAGTTTGAAACCTGAAGACTTTGCTAATGCAATGTTAAAGTGCATTAAAAATGAAGATATAAGGACAAAAATGGGGAAAGCTGGACAGGATAGAATGAAAACACAGTTTTCTTTTGTGGCCTTTTCAAATCAGCTGTTAGAAATTGTACATTCTCTTCTTGATGTAAAAGACAAAGTGGTTTGAACTTGAGGTTCTCCAGTAAAGGCAATTTGATTGATTGTGCTTTTGAGTGCTCAGATGAATTGATGCATTTTAATTGTGAAATAATTGATTTATTTAATGTTCCATCACTATTAATAAATTCCTGTACAGTACTCTGGCCATATTCTTGAGCCTTTTAACATGCACATACTTAACTTACTCATGGAGCTGAGCCCTTCTTGAGGAGCTGCCAATTTTGCAGCTACTCAAGAATTTCCCAGCATTTTATGGAACCTGGAGGTTCATTACCATGTTCACAAGAGCCCTCCACTGGTCCCTATCCTGAGCAAGATCAATCCATATCATCCCAGCCTATCTCTCCATTTTAATATTGTCCACCCACTTACACTAACATGCACATACACTCGTGAAAACTGTTACAGAAGTCATGTTTTAGTTATGTTTACTGGACTTTATATATGAGTTAAATAAATGTAAATGATGTAACATATGAGCACATTTGAATTTTTTGGAGAAGAATATAAACATATGTCTGGGTATGAAGAAGATTTCGTTTTATTACTGTAAATAAGACATGTCAGTAAATAGTTCAGGCTGTGTATGTCAGAACATTCATGAAACAAAAGAGGTATAACATATTATAAAGGTATATCATTTTAATACATATTTTAGTGAAAACGTGTTCTGTTGCAAGTTCCTTCCAACCTGTTGTTCAGAAAAATATGAAGGTATGAGATACTTACAAAAACTGAATGCAAATAAACTCAGTATAACCTTGCCAGCAACATAATTTGTAAACTCATGTCTCTGCTTGACTACTCAGTACCTGGGGGACTATCTGTGTAGGATCAAAGACTGCCCAGGTATCTTTTGGGTAGTTGTTACATTGTTGACTTGTGTGAGAACTGTGTTAGATGAAATACTGATACCACCCATCTTAATTTGTCTCAGTTTAATTTCAACAAAGCCTTCATTCTTTTGTGAGAGGGCCCAGATAAAAGCCCATTTGCCTGTTCGAGTCCGGTTGTGGATTCCTAGTGTTTTTTTTTCTATTCATCCAGCCCCTGACCGCTTTCTTGGCAACTCCAATTGAGATGCCGCAAGCTGGTTCAGGTCCTATGAAAGGCTGTTCATATCCTGTTCTTGCCAGCTGATCTGTGGTTTCATTCCCTACAATACCCTCATGACCTGGCACACATATCAGCTGAACTCTGTTATGTTTGGCCAGTTGTATGAGGGACTGGTGGCAGTACCAGACCAATTTTGAAGTTATATGGTGTTTACCAAGGCTTTAATTGCACCTTGACTATTCAATGCAATGTCCCTAATGTGTTTGTCTACTAGTTTCTCCATCATTTTCGAAAGGAAAGACGACAGGCTGAAGAACAATGTGCCTTAGCCTCGGTATAGTCAAGTTTCCCAGGCTTTGGAATAAATTTCTTTCCAAATATCAAGGATATTGGACAATATTTCTAGACCAGAGCCGCTGTTTCCCTTGAAATAGCTCCTCAATTATCATCATGAGGCTGAGTGGACCCTGTTCCAGACCCACTACTTCTCAGAAAAAAATTTGGTAGCACTGGGAATTGAACCCAGACCTCTGGATCTGTAGCCAGGAACACTGACCACTAGACCACAGAGGCAGTGTAGAGAAAACTGAAATAAACGGCTGTGGGGAATTGTTGCGCTAACCATGTTACACTCTCTATCCACAAAAGTTGACACTAAACTTAGCCGACATGTGGTGGCCGCTTGATGAGTATAGTTCGCTTACGGACTAAAATCACGGAGTTTTTTTTTGTTGTTTTTGTAATTGGACAATATACCTCCAAACTTTGATACATCTGGAACAAAATGTTAGAATTATCACTAGTTAATTTTTTTTTTCTTGAATACATGCTTTTAATGAACTGAAAGAAAGAAAAAAAAGCTGATTCTGGTGCATGAGGCATAGTTTTATTGGTTATTTCCTACAACTTTTATTGAATATATGAACACAGTCCTCTGGAGCATATCCTGAGTTTACACGCTTCCTACTGAAGGTCTCTATCAATTAAGGGTCTTCATCAATAGGAGCAGGTATGTCCAGGTAGCACTGACTGATATTCAGTGACTTCAGACTGGCCAATTGACATACAATACAGGTGTCCTCAAAACAACTTTATGCTTAAAAATTATATAGATAAGAGTGCANGCCGCGGCCGCGGAATTTAAATGACCACGTCAAAGGGTTAAGGACTTCACACCTATATCATTCAGTAGAGAATCCATCTGAGTTGTTTTCTAAGCCACCAAGGTTGTTGTTGCATGCCCCCATTGGATTCCACTAGTTTAAAAAATGGCTACTCCACAGCATAAGAGTCGGCATGTACTGCAGTGAGCCAACACAGACATTCTCACACCTGTTCAGTGTGTATTTCTCACAAACTCTGGCATACAGCTATCCAGCAGTCTCCATTACACTTGGTGCAAGACTTTCCAGGAGCAAGGGTGCATTTGCAAGGTGTGTAATTTTTTCATACATATTTACCATTTACATCCAATATGCAATCATACACCAGTTCTTATTTTGTAGGATTTGAAGTTCTCACAGTGGTGGTTATGAAGAGTTCCCCTCTTGTGAAATATAATACTTGTAGTTTGTTGAAAGTCAGTCAACATTTCAGAGGAACATGCCACCTCCATCTTCAGAACTGAAGAATATGCCAAGCAAGAAGCCAGCATGAAGCAGGTATCAAACACTGCTTCATGCTGGTTTGTTGACTTCCAGCAGACAACATGGCTAAATATCCCAGAAGATAGAACTCTGCAGTTCCTGTTTTGCTTGGTTGTTTTCTGATATGCTTCCTTGAACAAATAACGTTTGCGGTAATTCATTCAGACAACTTACTATCTCCTGTAACCCTCTTCCAGCAACAGTTTCATCTCAGAAGAAACAGAACCCTTTTTTGATTACTGTTAAAATTCTTTTACAGATGATTGCAGACTACCATTAAGTGTTCCAACTTTACTCACATTATCTCAACCCCTGTCCATTGTTGCATTTGTTTCATGGTTTACTTCCTGCTTATGTTTTAGGGGAAATGTCCTGTTGCCTGCAGAAGAAGATTACAAAGAATAATATACCTGTAATGTCCCTGCATTTTATTCACTAACAAGGATTGCAGTAAACTTGTTTCTGTTTGCTGTGGAGAATCCTGACAAGTCATATTATGAAAGAAAATATTTACTCAATATTCTAAACAATATTGTCATGCATTATGGATAAGAATCTTTGTGTAATTCAGTGACAGGTGTAGTCATTACCTACTTACTGAGAGGGAATCCAAGTAATCCGATGGAAAAACATGATAACCCAAAATGAGTAATGAAGTTACCTCAGAACAAAATAATTGCCTCATTGCTTAACAAACGGTATCACTTATACTGTATGTAGTCAGGATCATGGATACTGTCAGCTTGAGTCTTCAGACAGCAGCATGGACATCAGTCACCATTTGTAATCCTTTGTCTCACTAATCTGCTCCATTGTGGCATGGAAATCATATTAAAAAGGAAGATAACTTTTTCCATGTGTATATGGAGAGATGTGGTTTATAGACTTATGTATCATCTCTGTCATCTTGTGAAAGACGGAGAAATCTTGTTTGTGCAGATGAAACATCTGATTAGGAAGTCAGTAATATGGATAACTCATTTTTTGATAAAATATGGGTGACCTTTTTCACAGCAGAGGCTCTTTCCCTGGGGTAAAACGGCTTGAGCATGAAACTGACCACTCACCTCCAAGAATGGTGGAACTATACCTCCACTTCCCCATACATACTCATGGAATAGTGCTTAATTAAGCACAGGGAGTTTACCTTTACCTTACTCCTCATTTTTACTCTCAACGTTGGAAAAGGTGTGTGAATTTATGTTTGGTCCAAACGCTTATCAAAGGAAGTCAGTTTTAAAAACAATGAAGTATTTGCTAGATAAGCTGTAACTGACCCTGATTGAGTACAGTGCAGAGAAGTGGAGCAGCATGCATTGCATTATGCACATGCATACAAAGGGAGTTCTCCCTAACTCGTATGGTTTGATGATCACTCACCTGTACACACATTGTGGGTGTGGAGGTATAGCTTCACACATTCTTAACCTTGGGCTGAATGGAGGTGAGCTGTCAACCACATGCTATAGTGTTTTATCTCTAGGGTACCCATCAGGTAGAAAGTTGGATGGATACCAGAGCAGCTCTGGACATGGTGACAAAGACTACAAATTCCTGTCTGCTGGGAATGAACCCGTCATCTAGTTCAGCATTTCCCTGGGTTGAAGCTATGACCCCTGGGGCCTATAAGCTTCTTCTTGGTGGGGGATGCTTTTTCTCGGATGTGGCACCATGTATATCTTGTCACCACTGTGAAAACCTCAAATCTTACATGAATTAATTTTAATACTATGTGGCCACCCTGAATTACAAACGTACAAATTTAACAGAAGAAGCATTTTACAGATATTAAAGTTAATTGTAACTATTCTCTGAGACTGGTATATCTTATTTTAAGTTATTTTTATAGATTCTGAGAGGCGGGGGCTCAAAATATTTTATTCACATCACAAAAGCCTCAGACTAAGGAGCCTGAGAACCAGTGATCTCTCCCATACTCAGTCACTGCTAATGAGATCTGCTGGCTCACTGCAAATACATGGGTCTAAGAGAAAAATAATGGAGGAAATTATACACTATGAAGCTTCATAATTCATAGTCCTCACCAAATGTTAGTGTTATTAGGGTGAACAAATTAGGGAGGATGAGAAATACATAATAAATTTTTGTCTGAAATTCTATGGAAAAACACCACTTTGGAGACCCAGGCACAGATGGTAAAATCATGTTAAAGAAGTCAGTCAGGATTCATCTTGCTCTGGATATGGATCAGTGGTCGACTTCTGTAGGGAAGACACAATTCTAGTAATGAGGAATTGGTGGTTTAAGGATTTCATATTCATTGTTACTGATGTTTCAGATGTACATGTTGCCGCCATCTTCAGGGCTGAAGTGAAAAAGGTGAGAGTGTATGTATATACAGGTTTTGGCAGAAATAGGGTTGGGGGGCTGGTGCCTAGTCAGGGCCAATGAAGAGAGTGGATGGAAAAAAATTATCAAGTCATCCCTTCTAGGGTCACCAAATGCACCAAAATTCATCAGCAACTGGTGTTCCCTAGTAGTCACCCATCAAAGTTCTCCCCAAGCACAAAGTTCCTCAAGGTCTGCTGTGGGCCAAATGGTAGAAGATGTTAGTGGAACCCTAATGACTGAAGGTAGATTATGACAGGGCTGGGAAGACAGGAAACTGGGGAACAGTATATCACAGGGCAGAGATAACTCAAAAATGTAGGGTGGGTCATCTGTTGGGGCAATGGAGAGAGCCAAGCACACCAAAAAACCATTAGCTGCTAGTGTTTCCAAGATGTCATCTATCCCAGTGTTCACCATGTAAAATGTTTGTAAAGTGACAACAGAAGATTTAATATAACACATCTTCTCCTTTATACATGGGTTATGGCCTGAGTTGTAGTTACAAAAAAACAAGGAAAAGAGGATTGGCAACAGGAAAGGGCTGAAGAGAAGTGGCAATGCTCTAAGTAAATATCTAAATCCCCTCAACTAGGAAGGGGGGAAAGTTAGAGTTCAGTAGAAAAAAAGAAACAAGTCTGTGTTAGATAAAGAAGTCAGGTCAAGCTATCGGGGTCAGCCTCCAGGGACTGGAAAAGTGAAACAAAAAAAATTGAAGAGGGATAAAAGGGCATGTCAAAATTGGCCTTCTCTGAGAATGTGAGCACATGCTACAATTACATGGGAAAGTAAGTTAATTTTGTTTCACTATATTAATTTATGGATTATGAAGGCTTCCATTACATTAAATTTTGATAGTGGTCCTTTAGCACTAGTCTTCAACAGAGTAAATATAAAAGACAGTGGATCTCAAGACAAATCAGAGGTGATTTATCCTTGGAAACAATTATATAATGTATTTTACTTTCAATACTTACATAGTATATTACACTTATGGTCTAGTACTGAATCCTTTAAAGATATATTAATGACACATCTCCCTTAATGTTAAAAAGCTATGTGTAACATGTTGCATCCTCTGCTGTGGGTCAAGAAGACTGAGGGAGGACAGAAAGTCCTCTATGATACACTGTTCCCACTTTCCTCCCTTTGCAGTCCCATTGTAACATAACCTCTACCAACAGAGACCTCATGGACCCCTTCCATTCTTCTCGACCCATATCAGAAGAGATTAAGCAATTTTGGGGAGCACTTGGATAAATGACTGCTGATGGTTTTTTGGTACGGACAGCCCTAAAAAGTGACATTTTATAACATTTCTCCCTATCCATTGACCCTACTGGACTGAAATCTATACAGACATAAACACCCACATACCCAGTTTACTTCATCCCTAAAGATAGAGGTTGCTTACTCCTCTGAAACATAGGCAACACTGCCCACATTCACAAGGTAAAAAGACACAAGAGTACAATTAACATCAATAATGAAAAACTGTATAAATGTATCACACTAGGTGTAATACACATAAAGAGTAATCCAATATATAATTAAAAAATTAATTAACCTTAGTAGGTTAGATATATTTATATATCCAGCTGATGCTGGAATGAATTATCACAATGTGCTATTTTTACAGGTCTAAGAATTAAATTTCTCCATAACGGATTAAATTATGTCTTGTGTAGCAGGAAGTATGTTATAATGAAGCAAATTATATGTATAAAGCCTATACAAAAGAATATAGAATGGTTTTCACAACATGATATGTAAATACTGCAATGGTTTCAGTCACAATAAAATATATCAAATACCTTAGCTTTCACATTCAGTTTTCATTTGTCAGAATATTATAGTATATAATGAAAGGTCTTTATCGCATTCTGTCATGTTCACTGTAAACACATTAGTTTCTGGCAATAAAGAGATGATTGAAAAATAAGCTTCATTTTCTGAGAAATGATTACTGATATGTGCTCATCTGTTACTAATTAAACTGATATACTCACCCTATTTATGAACAAAATTTAATTACAAATAGTCTGGAATTCAATGCTTACAATAATAAACTGTTATCACTGCCAGTCATGAGGGTGTCTCAAAACCAAGCCATACAATGACCATCATCCCTGGGTTATGCAAGACTTGACTTCTGAAAATCTGATTTTATATGAAAGCCTCTGAAAATAAATTTAAGGTACAAGCAAGAACTTATGTCAGCAGGTAATGAGGCTGCTTACATGACAGAGGAATCCATGCATTATTCCTGTATTCTGTATGCATAAACTGTTCCGAACAAGCTATCACAATGAAATATGATACATAGCAAATGTTAAATAATTTTTATACTGCCTATAGAGTACCATCAAATTATATAATACAATGAACATAATACTAACAGCAGTTTTCAATATATGTAAGATTTCACTTACACAAGGATTTTCCAAATCAAACCTTCACATAAATCAGGGACTGTCTATGTATTAATCATGAAAGATACTTCTAGCACCAGATTCAAAGAACATGAGTTCAAATGACATACACTTTTTCCCTGAAAACTGAGAGAATCCCATGAAATGCCTGCAAGGAACTATTAGTACTTGCAAGACACGGCAGTGAATGGGTTACTCACAGTCCTTTATGCATTTCTTTTCATCAGTGTCCTTGTCCACATTCCTTCATAGCCTTCCCATGTAATTTATCAGAGTCTGAGCTGGATTCCAAGTCCCTGAGATCAGTGTTCGCTTGAGCCTGAAGGCTGGCTGGGATGATGTCAAGTTGCAGGTCATACTGCTGATCAAGTCCCAAGTAGCAATCAGAAAGGACATATAAGGTCATGATCGAACGCCCTGCAAGGAAAATTATCTTTCTGTATACACACACATATAAAGTAATGTAACAATAAGATGAATGCTCTGAAATTATGTGATTTTGGGTTACCACACCAACAAATTACTGTCAAGCATTAATACACTGCATGAGTGTAAGTTATGTAATAGGTTATGATGGAGCAAGAAGTCTTTTCTTTCAGTGTCAAGTACTAACATAAGGAAAGTCAGAATAAATCAGAGCTTGACTCTAATATTTACTTCATAAAGCCTCTTAAATGCCTTGCACAAAAAATGGAAGTATCAAAATGGATTATGAGAACTGCATAAAATTACTGAAAGGACAGTCTTACAAAACCACAGTTGTGCACCCTTACTGACCACTGACTCAGTTCATGGTGGACAACCCACCTGCCAATTAACAGTTTTTTAGATGAAATTTGGTTTTACTTGAAAGCACACATGAACACAAACTAATGGATAAAGAAGTACAAGAACTCCACATTTAATACATGAAGTTCCTCTCCTTTATGTAAAGGCTGGTGTCCAATTCACCTGGAGTCCTCTTTTTTTATGCATTATTTCTGAAGGATATGTAAGGCATACATGAATGGACTAAAGGGGTGAGCCACACTGGCCCTTGCTCGACTGACTTCACTCACTGCATCTCCTTTCTAAATTAACATTCTGGCAGTTCTGCACTTCAGATAAATCATAGTACTCTGTTTCCAGCTGAAGAAAAAGAGAGATTAGGTATCCTTGATAAAATTTGAATTTGACAGGCAAACTTTGCTTAAAACATTTATCAAGACAGGAGCAGCATACTGTTATTCTACCAATTTTATCATCTCAGTATAAATACGAAGTCTAATAATAAAGTTTGTGAACTCGCCACCATGTGCTTGCTGTGGCAGCAGTGGACAGAATCCTCAATATAGTTTAATGACATTGGCATATCAGCATTTCACAGCTGTGTTGTTGATCTATGGCAGTCTCTTTCTGAGTTACATCTATTATTGTATGTGTTTTGGTGTGCTGTCACAAGAATGTTGGGAAGAACATTAAATTTCTTGTTAAACTTGGAGAGTGGAAGCAAAATCATAGAGATATTAATGCAAGTTTACAGGATAATGCTATGAAAAAAACAGCACACATGGGTGGACTTACAGCATATACTTCTTAATACTACCATGTGTAGGTGTGACTATAGACGTAGTTTTGCATTGGATGATTGGATTTATTGCACCTTGTACATTCATCCAACTCTGGACTACAGGAAATTACAGCACTATTGCTATTTTCACACATTTTTAACAGTTAACCACTGAACATGCACTAGGGTTAGTCTTCACTAACCATAACCTGGCAATGGATTTATAACAGTCTCACTATGTCTTCAAATATCATATGAAGTCTTCTTTGTCCTGCCTAATTCCCTTTCTTGACCTTATATGGTGACTGCCAATTCCAAAGACTCAACTCCAATTCCTCTGCCCCCACGCTCATATCCTGGCAGGCTGGCATCTCAGAACGCTACTAGACT